TGAGGATCTATTTTTGATGTGACATCAAAACTCCCATTTGGCGTCCTCTTGAAACGTCCAAGGCGCCCTTTGGATACCAGGACCCACCTTCGTGTGATTGGAATGCTAGTAGTTGTCTAATAAACGTCATTTCGTCAAACGTCGAACGACAGTCCGGCCTATAACAACTACGCCTGCCACTCACTGGCCCACTGTCACTTTTTAAGTAAAACCAAGTACTGGGTGACCGTTATTTTCAGCATTTGCAACTATTACAAGCGATGGTGGTATAGTGGTGAGCATAGCTGCCTTCCAAGCAGTTGACCCGGGTTCGATTCCCGGCCATCGCACACATGGTTTTGATCCGAGAGGAGGCATCCCCCCACACGGCACACTGTTAACCCGTCAATGGCCAACGCGCAAGCGGTGAGAGGGAGGCGAGTGGTCAACACACCATCAACCCGATACCACCCTAGTCTCGGTGTTCTTGATATCGCCCACGTCGTTGGTCAAAATTGCCCCACCGCAATTTTTTCTTGCAACTAAACACACTTCGCACACAATCCTTCCGACCGGAATGTGGCCGTTACTCCCGCTTGGAAACGGAAAGAGCGGGACTCGACGCCGGGACAAGGCGTCGTCGAGGGACCTCCCCCGAGACGGCCATATATGGGACATTGATAAGAGGGCCAAGATAAACCTTCACTTACGGCTTCCTCATCACGTGTGTTTACCGCACAATCATGACTATTTTGGCAATTAGACTGGCAATTCAGTCGCATAACACGATTCGCGACAGTGACAGTCAGCAGTGATTCCATATCCAACAAATCGGGACCACTGAATACATCCCTGAATTCTGATGACTCCTGAGTGCTGAATGCGAGATCTAATGGGCTCCTGGCTGCAAGCCATCCAAACCTATTACAGATGTTCAATCTTCCGCCGGTCAAGCAACAGTGCGTTTGATCTTGTTGATGATGACCTGTCTCATCTCAAGTCTGAAGGCAGTGTTTAGATCCTGAAATGCCACTAACTTGTGTACGTGGATGTGATGCCTTGAGGTAATCCTACCGCATATAGTCCAGGGATGACAAGTTGGGCCAGTGAAAAGCCCACAATACGGCTGACGTGGCCTTCCGATAAAATATTCCGCCAACCAGTCTAGTAAGACTCGTAACGTGTGCGGTGTCTCCCTGTCCTTGTAGGAGCCATCTTTGTCCTGATCGATCCCGAGAAGTTGTCCCACGACCCCCAAAAGGGCAGCAGAGCGGTAGCGATGTAGTGCTTCGAGGTGGGTGTTGAGGGGATCTCGTTCACCGCTGAGAATAATATTGTGTGGAGCCAAGGACTGGACGAGTGTGAAATCACGAATGATTAGCCTTGTTTTTTTACCATGTTTTCCATTGCGGGCAATAAAATCCCACCACACTCCTGATTGCATCAGTGGGTTGCGAACTCGCAATACAATCATGCGACAAACATGTTTTTTATTTTCTACAGTGAGGGCACCAGTTCGCACAAACCCATAGCAGACGTAGTACGCCACAAACACCAGGCTGCACGAATTGAGCAACTTTGAGCAAGCATCTAAACTGAAAGGCTTAAGAAAAGCAGCCCAAATTTTCAAAACTTCACTCACTCTGATTTCGTTGGCAAGTAGTTAGATGGGTCCTTTTCATAAATACCACAGCACACTGTACTTGGCCGTTATGCGAAGGTGTGGTGCACTCAACCATTATTGGTCTTCCAACACACAAAAGCTATATCTCACAAACCACAATCAAATGTTCATAATTAATCAGATGCATGAGATAACACAGAAGCGGCTTGGCGAATGCTGCCGGGCTGGAACACGCACCGAATGATCTATAAGGACGTCTATTTCAGAGCTGAAACCCTATACAAATGTCAAACACTTCTTTTTAAGTTTCATACTGAAGGTCTCGTGAGCGTGAAAGAGAAGCAGGACTGAGAGCTGAACACCCAAAGCCAACACATCTCAGGCGGAAAATATCCTAAGAAAGCTACAACGGTGGTGTGTCCAATGTACCGAAGGAATCTGTAGGGGTTTACATGACTTCGCCATTGATGCGATCAGTGTGATGAGACGCTGATATGGGGGCTTGGTTGTATGAGTTGGATGCCAAAACGGGAAAGTAATTCGTTTGGTTATAGCTCTCTCAATCTAGCGTTTGCAGCCACTGACCTTCACCCATGTCATTAAGCTGCCTAAAGCGGCGAAGTGGCCGCATGTGTATCTCGTACTTTATCCTTAGCGTTTACGTTCGTGCTGTTGTAATACATAATTTTAAGCCCTGGTTAAATTTGCATAGATGTATATATATATATATTATATATATATATATAAATATATTTACACACACATTTCCCCGTTTCGTGACGCCATTTGTAGGGTATCCCAGAACAAATTTAATCAACTGTTTCCTGGACAGGGACAATCAATGCACCAATCATACCGCAGCGAACATTTTACATCCTTGGGCACCACGCTTCACGCTCGCGACTCAAAAACGAGCGCCGACCAAATTGCCCCAAGCGTGGAAAATGGACGTGATAGTTTACCGTTGTCCATGTGCAACGGAAGGACATATTGCAGGGCCTGGTGGCGTGGTGAGGAGGCGGAGCAGCTTGAAGTCCTTGTGGACATGCACTAATGTGTACGTGAGTGGTTTGTAGGTCACGCTCTTCGAGCAGCTCTTACACCCGGAGTCGTTTGAGACCGATCATCGTGTCGGTTCATCTATCGCAGCATCCAAGGTCCCTGACAATGCGGGACAAGTGTCTTACTCATGCAGTCAGGAGTGTGGTGGGATTTCATTGCCCGCAATGGAAAACATGATAAAAAACAAGGTAATCATTCATGATTTCACACTCGTCAGTCTTGGCTCCGCACAATATTATTATCAGCGTGAACGAGAGCCCGTCAACATCACCTCAAAGCACCACATCGCTCTGATACCCTTTTGGGGGTCAAGGGACAACTTCACGGGATCGATAAGGACAAAGATGGCTCCTACAGGACAGGGAGACATCGCACACGCTACGAGTCTTACTAGACTGGATGGCGGACTATTTTGTTAGAAGGCCGCGTCAGCCATATTGTGGGCTTCTCACTGGCCCAACTTGTCGTCCCTGGACTATATGCGGTAGGATTACCTCAAGGCATCACATCCACGTACACAAGCTAGTGACCTTTCGGGTCTCAGCACTGCCTTCATGCTTGATGAGACAGGTCATCGTCAACAATATCGAACGCACGGTTACTTGATCTAGCGGAAGGTTGAACATCTGTAGCAGGTTTGGATGGCTTGCAGCCGGAAGCCCATTGTATCTCGCATTTAGCATTCGGGATTCATCTGAATTCAGGGATGTATTCAGTGGTCCCGATCTGATGGATATTGAATCACTGATGGTTGTCACTGTCACTAATAATTTGCGACTTGATTGCCAGTCTAATGCCAAAATAGTCATGATTCTGCGATAAACACACGTGCCACTGATAAGCAAAACTGAAGTGAAGTTTCATCTTGGCTTCCTCACCAATGCCCCACATATGGCCGTCTCCGAGGAGGTCACTCGACGACACCTTGTCCCGGCGTCGAGTCCCGCTCTCCCGTTACCGAGCGCGAGGAACGGCCACGTTCGTCGGAAAGATTGTGTGCGAAATGTGCTAGTTGCAATAAAAAATTGCGGTGGGACAATTTTGACTAACGACGTGGGCGATGTCCAGAACACCGGGACTAGGGTGGTGTC